ATCCAGATTTCAAATTCATTAAATAATGTCACTAATAAGAAAATAATATTATATAATTCAATATATAGTTATTAGTCTTTTGATATATTAACAAATTTATTTTGTTATAAAAATTTTGTAGTTTGTCTTTAGTCAGAGTCTATATATAACTTTATACTATGTCTTAAAATAATGATGAAGAAAACATTTAAACAACTGATGAAAATGTTAGATATAAAGATTTTAAAAAATAAATTTATTTAAAATTTATTGAAAATGAAATTTATCACAATATGTTTATTATTATTATTATTATTATATGATCTATAGAGAATTTTACCTCAAATATTAAAGTAAAATTAAACTTTAGGATTATAGTTTAATACTTAAATATTAAGATATTTAGGATATCAAACATATTTTGCTTAGTATAATATTAATTACTAAAGCAGCATATTCAATAAATTTCATCTCTGACCCTATTGTATTTCAAGATCTATAGCCCAACCTTCTAACTTTAATTCATTATCAAACCCTGTCTCTTCTGTTGCACACATTCTTCCTTTTAATTCAATTCGTTCTAAAATTAACTCCTGGTATATCCAATGGATTAAATATCAAACTAATCCCCTATACATTATTACTAACACCCAAATCTAGGTGAGCCTTGGCCACTCCGGTTGGTTTAGGTCGCAGATAAATTAGTCTGAGCTTCTATTCTTTCTATAATATTTTAAAAGTAGACTTGTACTTTATGTAAAATCTCAACTGAATATTCAATAAAGATAGAGGCATGGCCTCACCATTAATATTTAAAAAAAAAAAAAAAAAAAATATAAAAAATAAAGACTGATTTATAAAAAAGAAAAAGGTGTTAATTAAAAAATAGTAAAACAGTTTATATATATAAATAAAAAAATTATAAAAAGATATTCAAAGATTTTTTTATTTTTTTTGTAAATTTTTAGTAAATATGAATTAGATTTCTCTTATCAAAATCCAATTTCTATTTTATATAATTAATTAATAAAATATTTTTAATAACTATTTTTAAATAAAAAACAAAACATTTTTTAAAGCTTATTATCTATTATACTTAAATTTTTCTTATAATACTTTTTAACTATTGCTTTATACTTGTACTAAATTATTTTAATTCTGAATATATTAAAAACATTATATGCTATACTTTTTCTTTTAGTAACAATTTATTATATTTTTTTCTTAATAGTATATTGACTTTTTATATTTATATTAAATTCTTATTGAATAACTATAATGAAGTAGATAAGTTGTTAACTCTCAAGTGGCAGGTCCAGAGTTCAAATCCTAGTGATGGCAAAAATTTGCAATACTTTTTGTATTACAGTTAACTGTCTTCCGTGATTGGTTTAAATAATATATCGGTAATTTATATTATACTAGTATGACTAGAAGGTTCAAGCACTCATACAATGTTGTATGAAAAAACACAAACTGGTACCAGATGGTGTAAACTCAAGATAAGTTCTCAGACTATATAAAGCATAGTAACCAGATATAAAGATAGAAGCCTACTTGGAAGACCTAAATAAAGAGGTAACCTGAACCTTCGATGGTGCTACTATAAAGACTAGAATTATGAAATAAAGCTAGAACTTGTAAAACTAAGCAAATGTGTCAGTCATTAAAGAGAGACCAGATGAACCAACCAAACCATCAGAATTTCTGAAATTTGGAGAAAAAGAGTACATGCCAGCAAACATGTAAACCAGAGATGTATAGTTTTAACCTATCTTTCTAAGCTATCTAAAATGGCAGCTTGGTGAAACTTAAATTGAATACCAAAGTAGTAAGAATATGTTGTAAAGTCAGTACTGAGGTTGGAGTAAACTCTACAAAAGCATAGCAGTTTAATAATATACACTGACTGCCAGTATTGGTCTTAGCTATAGCAATACTAAGTCAGCTATAAGAATGATATACAGAAGATTCTGGAAGAATTAGTACAAGGTCAAAAGTTCTCTATATGAGTAAACTCCTTTAAAGACTTAGTGGTCATTGCATATTTTCACTAATATCAGCTGAGATTATTAATAGACAGAGGTAAATAGGTGAATATAAAAACTAGAGTGGTTAAATAGGAAACCTACAAGCAGGTTTCAGATATAGCAACTAGTATAAAACCTTTGGCCAAACTACTTAAATTAGACAATAACTAAAGTTGTACAAGTAACTAGTTGTACACTCTTTTTATGATTGACCCCTATAGTTGTAATACAACTATTAGCCAAATATACTATCAATAAAATCCTAGGTCACAAGTATTCACCTTAATATTTAAAAAAAATAAAAAAATAAAAAATTAGATTATTAAACAATTAACTAATTAGATTACCAAAATAATTATTAATTTAATTTAATAATAAAAACTATAGTTAATTAACTACATAACATTTTTATAAAAAATTAGTTAATTAATTTTAATAATATAGTATTTAAACTAATTGTTTAATTAGTTGAATTTTATAAATAAATAGAATGATTTGTAGTTAAAAAAAGATATAAATTGAGAACTAATAGATTTCTATATATAAATTAGTATTAGGATTTTCTATAGTTAATTTTAATAACTTGTTAACTAAATAAATTATTTATTAGTTATAATATTAGATAGAAAATTGAGTTAAAAGATATAAAAAATAATTGTATAAAATCTGGATTAAAGTTTAGAATTTTGTAAAAAGATAAATTTTGTGAAAAAAGTTTAATATAATAGATAAATTTGTTGATTATTATTAGAATAATAAATTTTTTTTTTTTTTAATACTAGTGCGATAGGTGGCACATTCATGCCACCTATCTTATTTGAATATTGTATATAGATTTTTAGTTTGATTATTGTGATTTGTGTATGTATTAATGTATTTTGATAAAAGTCATAGATAATTAAATGCTTGTATAATTATTTAATCATTGATGATTATATAATTATAGAAGGTGATGATTGTTTAAAGAGTTAATATAAATATATTATTTTTATTAAGTTTGTTTATTATGTTCATGTTATTAATTGTATAATTGTATAATTAGCAGTAGGCAGGTAATAGATTCATAGTAATTTATAAATTTGATTAAAGCTGTATAAATATGTAATCTATGATAAAAGTAGTTTAAAGATTATTATAGGTGCAGACATTTAGTAAAGTTATAATGTTAATTGATATAACTCAATAACTATAACTGATGCATGTCGTAACATTTGACTTGTGTTAAAGATTTGATTTTGTAATATGTAAGGTTTGTATAGTAATTTCTGATTTATGTTTGATTTGTACTATAATATTTGTTTTGCTATGTTCTGTAATTATTTTATTGAACTTAAAATGTGTGGTAGATCATTAATTTTGATTGGTTAAGAGTGACGTTAAAAATTTTTGGCCAAAGTTATTTAAGATTTTACTAATTAAATTACAACTGCTTATTAAGTGAAAATTGTTCCTGAGCTAATTTTAGCATTGTCCAGACCTATTTATTTAAAAATTTTATTTTTAGAATAGAAAAGTTGAAAGATTTATTTTGGCCAGAAATTAGCTACCAATTTTGTTATGCGGGCTAAAATTTTGTAGATGTACATTTGTTAGTTAATCAAATTGAGGATTTGTTGTGCATTTTTTGTATAACACTTAGAGTAATGTAATATTTTATTTATTCTTGTAATGTTTTATTTGTGTTATGTTTTAAAGTAAAAAATCTATACTAATATTTTCGACATTATAAGAACAAATAAGTTTAGTATTATTTTGTTATTTCGTTCAATATAAGATAGTTGACTCTTTTCTGTAAAGTGTAAAATGTACTATGTTGTTATTTTATATAAGTTATTCTTGATCGATTAATAATTAAATCAAAAAAATCATTTAATATAATAATTTTTATTGTGTAATTTTCTATTTTTCATAAAGTTATAACTTTTTATGATGAAGTAACATTTTTGCATTACCGTAACTTTTTATATTGTTGTATCTAATATATGGCAAATATTAGATATTATGACATATGTTATTATTTACTTTTGACATGACGATACATTAGTTGGATGTAATTATATGTCTTCAAATGTCTGCATTTATAAAGGTTATGTACTGAAGAATTTATATTTTTTAAAATTGTATTTTTATGGTTTGTAATATTGTGTTGTTTTTAATTGTGTATGTGTGATTTTTTGATTTTTGTATATTAATTACTTTGTAATTTTAAGAATAGATTGCATGTAGTTATGTAATTAAATAGTAATTAGATAATTGTAGTTTGAGTAGTGTTTTATTGTTTTATAAGTTGTAATAATAGTAATTTTAATAGATGAAGAAGTTATTTAGTATGTTTTAGATTATTAATACTTTTTGGTGAATTTTAAATATAAAGTGATTTTATAGTATTGGTTTTGATTTGAGTTTTAATTTTTTGTTTCGTATTATGTTTCGTTATGTGTTTTCTATGTGGTATATTATTGTGAAAGATGTTATTTGAATGAATATATTTATTAAGAAAAAGGTATGAGAAATTGATTTGTAATGAGATTATTTTGTAGTTGGTTTATCCTGAAGATTATGTGATATTTGTTAAAAAGGGTAAGTAAATGATGATTGAATATGAAAGTTCTTTCATGAGGTTAGATATGTAATTATTAGATAATTATAAGGTAATTACTGTGTTAAAGTTGGATTATCAGCATAATAATCAGGTAATATTAATGATTTTACAGAGTAATTAGTTGATTTGATTTATATATAATGTATTACTTTTTTTTTTAAGGTAAATGTGTTCAAGGATTTGTTTAAACATGTAGATATTTTTTTAATCTATTTATAATATAAATAATATTAATATAAATATTATTATAATAAATAATGATAATAATAATAAGATTTATATGATTATAAGTGGGTAGGTTTCATTATGCCTTGTTATGCAGATACTATTGTAAGAGTTAAATATGTCCGTCAGAGTGGTGAAAAAGGCAATAATAATTTTAGAGCAATATGAGCTGTAGGAACGTACTAGTTGAGTATGAAGATAATAAAATTGAAATGGTCTTATTTGTACCTATCAATCCTGATAAGAGAGATTTGAAAACTCAGGCTGTATTTGAGAAAGATAGTTTTTACTCTGTTGGTAGTAAGATTGTTCCTAGTTATTACAGAGAAAAGAAAAGGCTGAAGGTAATAGTTTTAGATTATTAAATCTTAAGTTATTTACTTATTTTTTTTATTTTTTATTTATGTTTAGATGACTGTTTCTATTTCGACTTTTGTTAGTATTCTGAATAAGGTTGAGAGATCGAATAAATGTCCATTAAAGGTTTCTTTAGTAGGAATTCCCCAAGAGTTACCCCAAGTAATCAGTAGTGATGAGAATGCTATTTTCAATGTTTCAATCAGTGATTACATTGGTCAGAGCTATGATTTTATTGTTAAAGTTGTTTTTCTGAATTCTGATTCTTGATTTGGAAATCTGAAGAATACTATTAGTTTGCAGAATTTACTTATTTTTATTATTGGACAGATGGAGATTATTGATGATGATTTTTATGTTTATGCGAAAGAAATTAATAGCATTGATACTCATTTTTTATTTAAGCGAAATGTTTTTAGTAATAATGAGTCATTTAATGTATCTGAAATTGCTAACACAACCAGGTTGAAACTTCTTTCTATGCATTGGAATATTATTGAAAACTTGAAGAGAACTTCTGATATTGAGTCAACATTTTCTGATAATCATGTTGACAAATTTAGGTCTAGTTCTTTTACTCCAAATGATCTTGTTTCCTTAAAACGTACAAGAACCGAATGTTCTGATGATTCTACAGTTAATTCTGATGTTCTTGATAATAATGAATTTCAATCTGATGAAGTTGTTGATGTTAATCAAGTCGTTTCAAGTAATGAGGTGTCAAATAGAGGAAACGTCAAGAAGGTGGTACACATAGTAATAAAAAGGTAAAGGTAATATGGGTCAGTCTTTGCATAGTGCTTTAAGATCTTGTGATTCTGATACTTTCAAAAATGAATAAGAAGAGTTTTGGTGTTCAAAGTTTTTTTTTTTATTAAATGTTATATTAGTAATTCATGTTTTTAGTATTTTGTTTTGATTATTTTTTTTTTACTTAATTCTATATATTTTTTATATGATGGCTTGCATATTGTAATTTTTACTATTTTTTTTTTGAATAAAAACAGACAATATAATCTGTAATGTTATTTGTTGTATGTTTGGTTCTGAGTTATTAATAATATCATATGTCGTATTTAATCTTTTTAGAGTTATTATATATGTTCAATTTCTTTTGATTTTTGTATTTGTTATATAAGTAGTATATAATATTTCTTATATAGTAGTTTTTGTCAGTAGCTTTATGTTTAAGATATGTTTAGTAAAGCTTTTAAAATTATTCATTGGTTTTATTTCTATATAAAGTGATAATTACTGTTTAGTTATAAAATTTTACATATAAATAGTTTGTTTTCAATTTCATATATAGATGTATTTTTAATTTTATGGTATTATTTAGTTGCAAACTTTATCATACTGATATTTAATAATTTTTATTAGTGTTTTGTTGTTATTCTAGTAGTTCTGAATATACAATATTTTTAGTATTAGAGAAGTCTAATTGATTTTTTTTCTCTGTAAGTATTAAAATATCATTTCATTGACGAACTCTAGTTAGGACAGTATATAATTGACTATGACCAAATACTGGTGTACATAGATCAAGTGTGATGCGATCTATTGTTAGTCCTTGTGAGAAATTGAAGGTTGAAGAATAAGCAAGTCGTAAGGGAAATTGGTAACAGCTAATTTTAAATAGAAAATGGAGAACACGAAATAAAAAGGTTATTCATAGTAAATTATAATTGAATGTGTTATAGAATTTTGTACAGTAATTAATCAGTAACCAATGTTTAAAATTATAACTCTGCTATTTTTACATAGTCCATCTTGTAATGAAAGATTTCACATTACTGTAAGATGCATCCTTGTTTTAGTGTAAGACAATGTTTAGGTATTCCCGATGCATTGAAAGAATTTAAAAGTTCAATAGTTATCATATTTCTTTGGATAGCATAGTTATTATGATTTGTTAATGTTTCATTATCTGCCAAGCTATTCGCACTGTATAAGTTAATGATATTACTATCTAGTTGTTATAAAACAATATTATTGATAGAATCTACTTCAATATTTAATAGGCATAGAATAGCTTGTTGTAGACATACTATTGGGTTATTTAGTACATTTTTAGGAAAGACAAATTCTATAATTTCATCTAATTTATGTGTTGTATTGAGTAATTCTAAAGATACTTTTTCTCTATTAATCCTGTCTCTGATGTTATCCATAAGTTTATAATATTCTGGATCGAGTGCATCATGAATTGGTTGTTGAAGATCATATATTTTAAATGTTTTCCAAATCGAAGATGACTTGATTGATTCTAAAATTATAGCAGTCTTTTCTGCATGTGGAACTATAGGAGCAACTTGACGAAAGTCGCCTATTCCAATAAATACTTTTCCACCAAATGGTATATTCTGATTACAAATTTCTTGTAGAAGTAGATCCACTGCTTCAATATTACCTTTTTGTGCCATAGGTAATTCATCCCAGAAAATAACTGATGATTTTCAAATTAATTCAGTGCACTCATTATTCGAGTTAATTTGACATTTATATACATCATTATTTTGTTATACTGAAATACGAAATAGTGAATGTGCTATGTGAACTCCATCATAGTTGAGCGCAGCTAAGCCAGTTGTCGCGCAAGGGAGTATTATTTTTTTTAAACTGCGTACTATGGTGCAAATTGTATTTACTAAAAATGTTTTACCTCGACCTGCATGTTCATTTATAAAAATAGTTAGAGACATATCTTTAGATATGTGATTAATAATTGTCTAATAGATTTTTTTCTGTTCAGAGTTGAGTTGAAAGATCATTTGTTCTTTTTTTGTTATTAATTCATTATAATTACAGTATTGTTTGTGTATGTACATAATTTCAGAGATGCAATCAAAGAGTTGAGGTAAGCCATATTGTGTTATTTTACTACCATTTTCTTCTAAAAAATTGGCAATCCACATTAATGTTTCATTTTCATCTTGTTGTATATTTTTTTTTCTATTTATATAGTCTGCTGATAGTAATTTACAGTAATTTTGCCAAATTGTATAGGCTGGCATACCTTTTAGAATCAATCAACAGAAAAGTAAGCAGAGTTGTGCTGGTGTACAATTGTAGGATACAGCTTCTAGAAAGCATTGTTCATTCTCTGTTATGTCTTCTAATAAACCTAAGGCATGTGCTGTCTTCTGAAAAGTTGAATATAATACATTATTTACTATGCATATTTCTTTAAAGGATCAAGCAGTACAATTATTTAAAAGCATGCGAAGATAATACTTCTCACTAACACATGGTCGTATTATGTTCATTCATGTTATATGTATGTGATTTTGTTTGTATGATTTAATGATTTGTTGACAATATCCTTCTCTTCTTATTTCTAGGTAAGTATTTGGGAGTAGTGAATGTTGGTTAACTAAATTTTTAGCATAACTAAAATAGTATAATTTATTATATTTGCAATATGTTAAATTATTGAATTTAGGATTCAACAGGCAGAAAAAGTAATGTTGCAAAGTAGACAGGCTATTATTACTATTTCTGTACTGGCTAATTTGTTCTTTAGGTAAATGGATTGGTAAACATGTTACGGATAGTAATTGTAAAGATATTCTATATTTAAATATTTACCAAGTGGCTTCCATAGCCGAAAGATAATGTGCATTAAGATAGTCTTTAATTTCATCAGTTATTTGATGTTCTGATTCATTATTGTCATTATTATCCATATAAATAGTAATTTTTGCCTGGTCTGGTCCTTTGTAAATATACTTATATAAGTAAGAAATAACATGTAATGTAGAAGCTACTTCAACATTTATATGAGAATTTAATTTTAATAAAAGAAAAGCATTATAGAGCATGATGTTAATATTATTTTCAGTTCGACATTTATAGTTAACATATCCTTGTTCATTAATTGTAGTGCTTTCTTGTATTGATTGAGGGTAATTCCAATAATATCGATTATCTTGTTGTTTACACCTTTGAGTACATTGATGTATTATAAATTGTTTAACTAAATCATGAAAATGATTTTGTTTGAAATCTTTGTTGGATGGTAATTCTGCACTTATAACCTTAACTATGTCTTGAGGTCGAATTAGATTTGGTGTTAATTTTATTATTATATGAGCATATGGTAAACCACACTTTTGAAATTTAATTGCATGCATGTAATAGATTATTTTACCAAAATACATTTTGAGCAATTTACGTAGATAAGATAACCTCTGTTTAAATATGCATACTACAATGTCAGGTCTGTCTGCATAGTTTTGACCAGCACGTAATTGTTGTTGAATTTTTGGCCAGTTCAGATTTGTGATAAATGTAATAAATAGTGTTGGTCATCTAAGCTTACTCACAATTGCAAGGGCATCCATTGTTTTTCTGTAAGATCATCTAAATGATAGTGTATATGATGCAAGTAGATATATAATATCAGGATGTAGTTTAGCTTCATCTCTAATTAATTCATCTTCTTCTTGACCTCCTTTTCTAAATTTATATTGTTCTTTGCATATGAATTAAAGTCTTTCATCATCTGCATGACTAAACATATCTACTAAGTATTCATTAAATAATCGGCCAAGTAAATGAAATCTAGTTTCAGTTATAATTTGGTAATGGTAATAATCGACTTGTAATATTTTTTGTATATTAGAATTTTCACAGCTTGTTCAGTACATACACCAGCTGATTTCACTATATGGGAAAAACAGCAGGTATTGTAATGCTTCATAATTTTTATCAAGAATATTAATGTAATCAGGTTTTTGTTCACCAATATGCCAAATTTGTATGTACCTTTCTTGAACAATAGCTGATGAGTGAACAATAGTGCAAGCAGTGACTTTCATATTAGCTGTTGACTGCTAAATTACCAAGCAAGCTTGTGAATAATCTGTATTGCATAGTTGATATAAACCTCTGACAAATGGGTTAATAGTAGCTAGTTCTTGTTCGATTATATTTACAATATTTAGATTAAGCTTATAATAATCTGCAATAGTATTTTACTCATTAGCATTATACATGAACCAATTTACTGGATGCCCTCTTGTATTGGCAGAATGAATTTGGTGATATGCACAGCCATTGACAGTAAAAGCATGAGGATGTGGTAAGTGAATTACACTACCTGTATAGCTGAGTGTTGTAAAGGTGAAAAGAGAATTATATTGACGACTTAGATGGCTAAAATTGTTATTAGTATTTGACATATAGGGATTTTGTAAAGTAGGTAGTAAAGGTCTTAAAGATGATATTATATATCTTAACAAAGGATTGCAGCAGAAATTCATCTGTTCTGACAGAAGAAGTTGCAATCTGCAATTAGGACATGGTTGTTTCTACTTAAGTGTATATGTATATATTCGGTTACTATTGCACATTTCTGATAAAGTTTGCCACCATAGTTGGTGATTACAATTATCATCAAAGTTGTTTACATTATTATTATTATGAGAATAACTATAAGATATATTTGCAAAATCATTTGGTATAGAATTTTTATTATTTTCTGGTATCGCTGTGTGATTTTTTGGTAATATATACTGTTTACATCTATTATAGGTTTTTCAGTAATGTACAGATCTGCCCATAATTATAACAATTATGATAATCATGATAAGAATTTATAATCATATTTTTCGCTTTTTTCTGTAGTTGTAGCTTTATTTATAAGCCAAATGATCATTTCTGTTTGTATATTATATGATGTTATTGTAATTATAATTACATAGAATATAAAAAAATTTTTTAAACAAAGCTTAATTTATCTAATTGTATTATTAATGATATAATTATTTTTACATCAGTAATAACAATAATCAGATATTTCAATGCTTGTTTTTAGCACTATTGACTGTTATATTCAGTTGCATTTAATTGAATCATAATTTCATTAATGTCCATTATAAATGTATAATATATAGTTATTATGATTATAGTCTTTATAATTAACTATAAGATGTAATCATACCTTTGATTAATATGATAGTTGTAATAATAACACAATCTACAAACATACATATATACATAAAGGGATAAGAAAAGAGAAGGATTAGATCGTCGAGTAATAGTTTGGATTGGCTTATTTCTAATGCTCTTTGCTTAAAGTATAAAATTCTACTATTAATAATAATGCAAATGCACAATTACAAAATAGTATAATCATACATTTAGGCAAAATAAGTTTTAAATTATTAAGTAATAGTTTGAAATGATCTATTTTTAACTTTTTTGTTAAAATATATAATCTGTTAACCATAGTTTTTGGCAATAACAATAATGTAATTATGCATTAGAATAATGTCAAATTTAATCATCATTTAGCTTTATTTAGTAAGAGTAATTTATGAATATGAATTTTAGGAATAAATTAGTAGTGTAACCAAGATTCAACAGATCAACCTGAATCATGGGTCAGAATGAGCCAGCGTTGATTAATTTTGTCAAAAATTGCTTAAAATTTTACTAATGAAACTATGGCCACTTACTAAGTAAAGCTGCCCAGATGATAATTTTGCTTAATTGTTGTTATTTTTAATATCAACCTAAATCTGTTAAATTCAAGCTAATCTGCTGAATTTTGATTGTACTGCTAATTTATTCGAATTTTAGTTATTACTGTTATATTATAAATTAATTAATAATAATAATTAATAAACACATAATTTAAATGACCAATAAAATTACAAATAAAACACCAATCAGTGTCCAGTATTGTGCAGATTGAAATTACCATTTTCTTTATTCTATACTTTAATAATAATAATTAATGATGAGACCATGCCTCTATCTTTATTGAATATTTAATTGAGATTTTACATAAAGTACAATTCTGCTTTTAAAATATTATAGAAAGAATAGAAGCTTAGACTAATTTATCTGTGATCTAAACCAACCAGAATGGCCAAGGCTCACCTAAATTTGAGTGTTAGTAATTATGTATAGAGAATTAGTAAATAATAAAATTATTTAATAAATATAAGTTAAATAAAAAAAAAAAGTTATTAGTTATATTAAAAAGAAGTTATATTAATAAAACCAAGTAATAGATATTGTATTAAATTTATTTAGTTATTAAATTTGTATAAATTATAAGTGTTATTGTTTAATAAGTTGTTTGTTAAAGGGGGTGTGGTGACCTAGTGAAGTGGATAGGTTGTCAACCCCCAAGTGGCAAGTCTAAGGTTCAATTCCCACGAACGACGAATTTTAGAAATTATATCTGTGTCATGGTAACTGTCTCTACTGATCAGTTGGGTTTTGGTATCTGTAATCTTAGGTACACCAAGTTGAACCCTACCTGACATTGGGAGCTCAGGGCATCTATGCAAAGTGTAACATTACACAGTATATGTACATAGAGGAATGTGAAAAACCGGTATCATATAAGGCTTCGGTGCAAACCCATGATAAGACCCCTGGGTGTAGAAGGCTAAGAAACTGAAGAGACAGAAACTCATTTGGAAATCCCGAGTAAAGAGATAGCACAAACTTTTGATGATGCCATTGGACTGATGGAAGCCCATGAAACACCTTCATAAGAACTATCGGATAAACCAGATGACAAAGATTTGTAGAGGAGCATATGATCAACTAGGCTGCTGGAATCGCCAGAGGAAAAGGATACATAAGTATATCATATCGGGCTATCTGGATTGGAAGTTTGGGGAGTCAGTTAGTTCTGAGTTGTGACTAGTAGGGGACGATGGAGAAGAAGTCGGAAAGATGAGTACCAGGGTTTTGGTAAACTTTATAAGAGTAATAGTGGTTTAAGAAGTAACCCTAACTGCAAGTGTTAGTCTCGGCCATAGCATTAAACTAGATTAGTGGTAAAAAGAAAATACAGCTCACTTTGGTAGGTTTACCTTGAGGATAACTGTCCTATAGTTAAAAGTGAACAGATCTGGGTCTGTGATCCAGTGAAATTAATACTAGGCTTAGATCAAAGGGTTTAAATAGAACATCTAAGCAGGGGTGTTAGGTATGACAACTGGTAGAGAACCTTTAGGCAGACTCTTTAAATAGATAATATAGAAAAGTTACATGTGAGCCAGTTGTACACTTGTCTAATAGTTCAATATAGATATGTCTGTATAAAACATATACCCGACATAAGTATTAATAAAAAGCTAGTACCAAAGAGGTCACCTTAACACTAAAAAAAAAAAAAAAAAAAAAAGTTGTTTGTTCAAAGATAAAAATTGGTTTATAAGAAAAATATATATTATTTACTATATTAATTTGTTTTATAAATAAAATTTAGTTGTTTTAAAAACTTAATAGTTAAAAAAAATAGATTAGAAGAAAATATATTATAAATTATATGAGTATTATTTGGTATAGTTAATAAAAGTAATATAATTTTAGAAAAAATAAAAAGAAAAAATGTTATTTTAAGCTAATTGTATAAGATAAAAAAAATATATAATTTTGTATTTAATTTTTTTAGTTTAAAGCAGCAATCTTGTTTGTGTGTCTTTATTTTTTTTTATTTTTTTTTTTATTTTTTATTTTTTTTTAAGTTAAAGTTCCTATCTTGGGAGTTGCGATGTTTTTATTCAAGTATATTAAAACATGGCATGCCATCAGAGGCTCACTTACATTGGAGGTTACAACTAGTCACATATGCACTTTTGGTGCCTAATTTAAGTAGTCTACTTATATATTACTATATAAGTTCTACACTAGTTGCCATATCTGCAAGCCAACTAGGGGTCTTGCCTATTTAAACTCTTTGCATATGCAGTCCTCCTTGTATCATAGGAACATCTCAAGGCACTGCCCATCCAAGTTCCCGATGCTTATTGGTCTCCTTAGGACTACTTTATCCTTGATAGAAAACTTACTAGAGCCTTTATATCCTACACATATAGGCCTAGTTTTATGCAACACACTATAGTTACCTAACACTTGCAGTCACAGAGGTTACCTGTTTAACTGCTACATTACACTATTTTTATCTTTGTAAAGTTCACTAGAATCCCAGTACCCATTTTTCTGGCATTTTCTTCATCATCTCTTATTAGCTGCAACTCAGAACTGTCAGTATCATTTCAGACTACCAATCCAGATGACCTAGTATGGTATACTTCTGTATCCTTTTCCTCCAGTGAACCTGGCAGCCTAGTTGGTTATGTGCTCCTCTACACATATTTGTCATCCAGTTTTAATCTTCGGTTCCTATGAA